TATGCATGGTGGGTCTTGAATAAATAAACCTTGGTTACTTAATGCCTCATCAACAGTTGGCAATTTCTCTTTCCTTGGGTCACCAATAGATTCCCACCATAACTGGGCATAAACCTCCCCTCAATAAACCATGCTATTTTAGTTTGAATCTTGAATTTAAATCTTGGCTGTCCAATGCCTTGTCAGTTATGGTGATTCTCCCACCATCCCAGATCATTGCCATATCTATTCATCACCATTGAACGAGAGTATCCTTCAAACCATGCTATTTAGGAAACAATTTACCCTTTAGTCATTCAAATGTTTCTTGTTCATAACTGTAGCATTCAACACAACTGCTTATATATTAAACTACTGCAAAAGTTTCCGCCTGATTTGAAAATTAAAAACAAAATTTTACATACAAAAATATTTATTAGTCAACTACATGGTCTACATTGATTTTAACAACCGTCTCCTGTCATTCTACAAGCTTGATGATGGCATTTAAATAGAAACTTCTTTTTGTTGGAAGTTGGTTGTTGTGTGGTAGTTTTTGATCAACTGTACAGAATCATTTTTTTTGTCATTTAAATGGTTCTATAGATACTGGAATAAATAAAAATCCAAAGGAACCAAGTCAGGAGAATTATGGTGAGTGATGGAGAATTTCCTGTTTCAGCTAAGTTTCTGCAAGGTCTGTCTTGCATTGTCATAGGGGGAAAATGACACCTTTATAATTTGCCAAATTTAGCCAAATCTCTTCAAATGGCAAAAGGCAATCAAGATATTGATTTTCAAACTCTGAGCAATCTCTTCCATCGAGATCTTCAGTTTATTCTCCACAATGGCAAGCAGAGCATCCTCATTGATGTTGGAAGGTTTCCAAGAGTGGTTGATTGTTTAGGTTAAAAATCACACAATGAAATCTGCCAAACCAGTTTTTTACTGTGTGAAGAACTAGAGCACAATCTAAAACATTCTGAGAGTTTTTTTGTCGCACTTCTGACACTCCTTTCTGAAATTCATAGAGCATAATATGGCAAAAGTACCTAGATGAGAGGGTGGTGTAATGGATAATGGCTTGGAATTGATAATCAAAGAGCCAAGTTCCAATTCCAGTTGGGGTCGTTATATTCACTTACACACAAATACTCTTGGGAAAAATATGAATCCACCTCTTCTCCCTTCAGCTATGGATTAATTAGTAAGACTTCTATCAATCAACTGGTATCTCCAAAAATAATCTTAGAATCAAAAAACATTTTCTTGCTTTAAATAAGCTGCAAAGGATCGATAAGTGTAGAAAATGAGTCAATCCATTTAAGGCATTCATTTGTGGACAAAACATCAACATTTAGCAAAATCAGATTTGCAAGTGAATGATGCAAGGTTTCAATCTAGAACATACCAGAAATTGGTGCCAGAACAAACACCAATGTCAAGCTAGTCATTTTTATATTAACAATGATTGCATGTTTCCAATGCAGAATTGTCACGTGACCATAGCTGTTATGTTGTTCACATGTTCCTGGTATTACATACACAAAGAAAAAGTGATAGACATAGGATAGATTCTCACAGACTGATCTATTAACAAAATATAGCAGGTCATAATGTATGCAATTCTATTAATGAACCCAAATATTTGTTTAACAAGAAAGCTATCTAGCAGCAGCAGTAGCTCAGGCGGAAAAGACATTATTTTGAAGCAAACAGGAAAAATGGTCTTTTCAATTAAGATACCCAATTTGTGAAAAATAACCTTTTATACTGCAGTTTCCTTTCTCTTCTGAATTGTGATAATATAAAGCTTTAAAGCGAGAAGGCATATAAGAAAGCAATGGTGCATCTGGAGCCAATCTATATCCAAAGCAAAAGATGTATATACAACTCAATGTCACCTATCAAAATACGTAAAACATTACTCGAATTAACGTATTTTTAAGGCCAGCAGAATTTGTCAAAAGTGTCAATTAGATAACTAGAATGACACTAGTCTATAAATTAATTAGTAATGGTTTAAAGGACTTCTCATTGACCAACTTCAGACTTTCGTGCAACTGTTAATTAGGGTCAGAATGTGCAACAAATCTATTCGATTATTACCATCTTATTTATACGTACCAGGCATTTCAAATTTGAATTTTAACATCTATGATCAGCACTTGTTTGTGACAAGTATATGATAGTAATACGTTAATAGATTTATCAGGCACTCTGAATCTAATGAGCAGTGTTATGTGAAACTCTGGATTTGGTCAATGAGGTAAGTCCTTTGAAAAGCTATTAATTTATAGACTATATCATATAATTATATATATATATGTATATATATATATATATATATACATATATACATACATACATACATATAATATAAATTATTCTATGAAGCAGCAAGTATCCATCATCAAAAGAATGACATGCTTATTAATTGAAGCTAGCAAATTTGAGAAGTGTATGGAAGCATCAAAGTGCTAAAAAAATAGAAAATATTTGAAGTGCCAAATAACAAAACATTTTTACTTGCCATAAGTGAAAGTTTGAGGTTGTGGCTGAGACACATTTTCTGTAACATGAGAAATAGATTTTTTTTTTTTTTTTTTTTTGCTTCATTTATGATGAAAAGGAAAAAAAAATTATGGTAATAGAATGGGTGTCAACTTGATTGTTTTTAAATATATCCATCCATACATTTATTGGATGCATAAACAGAAATTTGCCATTGGCAAGACATTAACCAGCAACAAGACCAACACAATTAAGCATAAGCAGTTCGACAGCTGTAGTTTTAAGATGGTGTCTACCAGTTGCCATTATTTTTGCAGGTAAGGGAGTGGTACATGAAGACATAAATATCCCTCCTTGATTGTGTGTGTGTGTGTATGTATATATATATATATATATATATGTATGCATGTGTGTCTGTATGTATATAATATGAGGTTAAATCAGAAAGTAAAAGCAATTTTGAAATTACACAGTAAAAACAACAGGGAGATGCTGATGTGTGACACCATGTGTGTGCAGGGAATGACGGGTAGCTAACTGTGCACCAATTTCCTTTGTTCAGTTGAATGTCGGAGTAACGAGGTCAGATGCATGGACACTATTTAGTGTTTGCACCATCAAGGAACAACATGCCAATCATGTGCCCTCTCCCAGAAACTAAGATCTGCTCAGCATAATTGCAGCATAAACCATAGGTGAACTCTGGGTGTATCCTAGCAGACAGGACTGCTCAGCAAACAAGTGTGTGTATATGTGTGTGAAAAACAACATACAAACTGTCCTACAGTAAATCACCCATCAACAAAAAACTTATCACTGCAAAAAAAGCTCTCCTACATAACCACCAATGGGGTGGGGGGAAATCAACAAACCAATGTGGCCTATGAATGGACTTGCCCTCTTGCAGAATGAATTAGTGAGGCAAAACATATTGGTTATACAACCACTACATTATCATGCTGATCACCATTTATCCAATAGTAATTTAATTGCACATCAGCTAACAACAAAAAGCTTTAGTAATAACAATACTATCACTAAATGTATAAAATAAATATCACAAATGTTAAAAGCATTAAACAAAAAAAAAAAAAAAAGAAAGAAAAAAAAAATGTATATTAAATATTTCATAGAAAAATAGAGGAAGGCACTATTTGAAAAACAAAACTGATATTATACACACAACATTCTCATATATGATCACAACATTATAAACAAAAATTATTTGGTAATGGCTTCTGGGCAATTTATATTCCCGAAAATGGTTAAAAAATCCTTAACAAAGAGCTTTTGTTGGTTTTTAACAAAACTAAAAAACTGCTCTCATATATATATCTCATCCAGTTCACACTTCTTCCCTATCTTTGAACAGGAGTAGAGGTTTATCCCTTGTTTAGGATTGGTTTTCTGGTTCTTCTAAAGTACACTTCAACTCTATACTTCTAATGTCTCTGCCTAAACTCTGAAATTTTATTTACTATTTTTTTTCTCAATAAGAGTAGATAAAGTTGCTTATTAAGCAGGCAATACTTTACAAAAGAAGTAATATATTTCAAGTCCGGTCATATCCTTCATGTCTTCGTCTTTTCTTTTCACACAATTTTCTTTTATTTTTCCATCTTTATTTACTTATACTATCTTTCTTTGTTCACACCTTTTTCCTAATATACCTTGCTTTTAAAATTCTGTTGTGCAGGAATAAATAAGCAACTGGTATCTATATATAATAGACCGAGGTGGTCAAGACCATCTCTGAAATGGTCCGTTTTGATGTTTGAGTACTTCTGACCGTCAGAGTCATTGTCCGCTGAAAGTACTTAAACAAAAAGAACAAAAACATTCTGGACAGTTTATCCAAAATTTTGATCCTGATATACAATATTTAGAAATTGGAAAAATACAGATAAGAAATTAAATGGAAAAAACAGTGCTGGTTGTATGCTTGATGCATATAATCTAAACATTTTGAGTGGATACCTGTATTTGAGTAGACACTATTAATTTCATCTACTTGAGAATACTTAAGAAAATGTGCCTTCCAACAGGATTCAAGGCTGCATCTCCCTTTGCAGAAAGAATCCCCATCTGATCTGGTGTGCTTTAACTGCTTGACTACAAAGAGCTTCACAATCAAGTATGGTTCTATTTACCTTAAATCACATTCACTCATTCAGATAAAAGTATGTTGGATGGGGGGGGGGGGAGACTCCTGTCATATTTCTACTTCATAATCTCATGGGTAGTGGTAACCCAGGCTGAAAAGTTGTTTTCTCTCTATTACATTATCCATCTCATGATAAAATGGTATTAGTGTGTCCTTAAAAAGGACAAAGACCAAAGAATAAATTCCAAAATTATGACCTCTGACACATAACCCTTAAAATGTTTGGCATTGTCATAATGTATTATTTTGTTCCTGCAAGTTTGATGGTTCAAATGTGTGCACAGATAATATGCAACTACTGCTAAAAAAAATGAAAACAGAGAAAAGAGAAGCAATAACTTACATAGGGCTGTGGGAACAGCTAAGCTGACGTAAACGATCCCTGAAAGATAATTGAAAAAAAAAAAAAAATTTTAAGGAAATAGTTAAGAGATTGATATACAGAATAAATTTACAAATATATACAAAGAGAGAAAAAAAAGAAAAAAAAAACCATCTTAATTTTTCCATCTGCATGTGTCCCAAGAAATATACTAGATATCTGCATTCTCTTTTTGGTTTTGTGGATTTTGTAGATTTTTCTCTTGGCATTATATATGTGTAAGAGAAGAAAAAGGGAAAAATGAATCCACTGGTGATATCAGCGACCAAGCTTCTGTCCTTCATAATGACAGCAGAACAGGGAGAATGTGGTATCATAAAACAAAAAAATAAATAAAAAAAATAAAATGCCTGTCTTAATTATGCTTGGTTTCAACTGCAGGTCTGCTGTGATTGGCCAACAAGCACAAATTACTGTTTCAATGCAATTCAATACAACAATCTTGGCAACAGTTCCACCTACACTGTCTGACTACCCTCTCCAAACAGCCAATTGTTCATATTGTACCAAATGAACCCCCAAATCAGGATCTCTTCTCCCACTTGTCAGATTCCTTTCTACAATATGAAATAGATTTTGAGAGTGTTTTAAATGAATTTTTCTTCATTAGGGAGATAATCACGGCTGCAATTACAAAGGGATCTTAGATAAAACCCTATAATTATTCCTGATTTTTATGTAATTGTTAAATATCTTGATTACATATTTGTTACATAATACTATTACAGTACTTTGGTCCTCTAACAAACTGTTTAAAACCACATTGGATCTAAAAATTAATATTTGTTGAAGTTCTCATGTGCTATTCAGTAAAAAAAAAAAAAAAAAGCAAAAGTTGGATCAAAATAGTTCTGGTAATAGGTCATACTTTGGGTACGAAATTAAATCTGTTTATGCAATATTAATTTTTATTTGCCTATCTAAAATAAAAATTGGAAAAAAGTTTTACTAAATCAAAGGGTTACAATCTTTGCAATTTTTTTTATTTATTTATTTATTTTTTTTTTTATTTAAAATCTTTTAAATTTTAATGCCACCAAAACAAAACTGCTTTCATTTAATCACCATAGAGAACTTTTGTTTGCTATCAACATGGCTGATGCTAAACTCCAGGAGAGCAACACTATGCCTTTTTGGCCTCACATTTTCCATCGACATGAAGTGGAGTGATTATATTGAATCAATTGCTTTGTTTGCTGCCAGGAAAGATGGTAAACAGTGTCATGCCAGAAAATTTTTCTTGTGAGAATCCACATTGCTTATTTATAAATCTACTATTTGTCCATGCATTGAATACTGCTGCCATATCTGGTCTGATGCTTCTGCTGTACATCACGAAATTGACAAAATTCAAAGAAGGGTCTGCAATGTACTTGACCCTTATCTGATATCTTAACTTCAGTCATCTTTTTCACAGATGTGATGTGGCTTCTGTCTTTTCTACAAATATTTTCATGGCAACTGTTCTGATGAGATGTTCTTAGTGACTCAACAACATGAATTTAATAGTGATTAGCAACCAAATCTCAACTAGCTAGATGAAACTCACTTCTAGTCTAATAGTTTCTTTTTTCCTCTCACTTCTCATCTGTGGAACACCCTTTCAATTTCTTACCACCGGCATTCTTAAATTTAAATTTAAATGCAATGTCAAGCACCATCTGTCTTCTTTAACCCTGTTCCTTTATTGTACTCATTCTTTTTCACTCCCTATAACCTGTTTCCTAGTGACATAATTGCCTTGCTTGGGGTGAAATGATTAAAAAAAAAAAAAAAAAAAAAAAAAAAAATTAATTTCTTCATTTTTTTCCATCACACAAGAGATCAGAAAGCAAAGCATTGAGAATTTCAATTGCCTTTATGAACATGTGACTGCATTTAATTTTTTTCTTTTTTGATATAAGCAGAAATTCTTCATAGTTGACATTTTGCATTCTATCCTAGTATGACAAGATGGAACACTGTGATTTGGGATCCCCCCAACACACAAATATATAGAAAGGTATAGCAAGTGCATCTCATTCTCAAGTCTTTTTTATGAAAGATCTTGTATCAATTTTGAAAAGATTCATACACTCTGAAGAGGTCTGTTTTTAAATTGGCAGAAACTTCAAACCTAAACCTTTAATTTGCTGCAAACAAGTATCATAATATTTATATAATGCTATTATAACATGGCTGTTTCCATGAACTTTTGAAATGCAATATTAATGCCCTTTATATAATAGGCACAAAATAGGAATGAACGGTGCCAACATACATAAAAAACCTACTTAAAAATGGATAAATTAAGGCAGACTTTCCTGCTAAGTGCTAAGTGTTGATAAAAAACTTAGCTGATCGTTTGAATTAAAATGTTAATTAATGTAGATATTAGAGAAGGAAAAGAGAAGAAAGAAGAATGAGTCATATTCAAATGTTTGCTCTTCCTTTTATCCTTGGCACATTGCCAATATCTTTTAGAGCAGAAAGAAAAAAAAAAAACCAAAGAATTCATAAAAGAATAAATCAACTATAGTTGCTTTAAAAATGTTCAAAGGATCAAGTTTCTTCCAACTTGTTATCTTTCTTTGACTAAGGAGACTATCAGCAATTATTTTCTTATTAACTGAAACACATAAATATTTACTAAAAATGCAGACAAAAAGAAAAAAATCTCAACATGATGATAGGCCTAGAGATCCATACTCATTATCAAGTCATAAATTAATCTAAATTTGAATAAGACCATATATAAAAATAAAAATTTCATTTATATAACAAAAACAATCCAATTTTTGTCCGAATTTCTGGGATGAGAAGTTATCCTTTACATTATTTATGTACTATTGTCCTCATCTTTGTTGTTGTTATCACAATGCTTCAGCCACTGAACCTTCTGGCATTTATCAAGCATATATTGATCCAGGTATCCTACAGGGAATCTCAAACTGAACACTATTTAAATCTAATGAGGTAGAATGTTCTTGTTCCACTTGCCCATGTCTAGGGATATCTCATCAAATTCTGATTTCCGTACTGCCCAGTTATTCCTTGCTCTGTTTCCACCGAGTTTAAGTACACACTGCCTAACCCAGGGATTGAACTCGCAATTACAACTTCACCAAGTTCATGACCCAACACTTTAATCCTGTGGAGAACTTGGAACTTTAAACCTAACCTACCTGCTGATGAGTGCTGCTAATGCTATGTAAATAGCATATACATGCAGAGAAAAATCATCATTTCAAGTGGGCATCTGGTTAAGTGGTTAGAATGTTAGCATTCCAACCATGAGAGACTGGTTTGAGCCCTACCATATTTGATTTGTCAAAGAGGTGAATTTGTTAGAATATTGGCCTGAGGGGATTATCCCAGTGAGCAGCTGTTAGAAGTGGCTAAAAACCATAGCACAAACAAACAAGTCTTGTGAGTGAAATAAATATATATATATATATATATATTTTTTTTTTTTTTTTTTAACAAGTGAACCAGTTCATTTTAGTCCCTTCAAGTGTCATCTTTAAAACACATAATAGAAATCATAAGAACTTTGTCCAAAGTAATATTTTTTTCACATTAAATAGTTTCTATGAACAGAAATTTGGCTGGCTATGGGTTCTCCACTTAGTACTGTCTTCATATACCAATTTTTAGAATTCTTAAATTCTCAACCATTACATGTTACCCAAAAATGCTAAATAAATACTTTCAGTATATTAATATATCTGCACAAAACTAAATCAGCTCAAGCCAAAAATGGAGTACTGCTGTCAATTCTGGACCAGAGCTGCCCAATTATCACTTTCCAGTTTCAAAAATGTTTACATGGCCTTGCAGGTGATGAATTGTCTTCACCCTTTGACCTCTTTCCTACAGACAGAACGCTGCTAGCCTCTAGCTGCTCTGGTGCTATTTTTATGGCAGCTGTTCAGGTAAACTACATGATATTTACACAGAGTCAACTCATCTTCATTCCCTTCATATTCCATTGGTAAGGAGAAACTTCCTTAACAGCTTCTTCTCCAAAATTGTTGCAATGTGAAAGACTCCCAGGGTGATACAATACTTCCCTGATCACTACAATGTTAACCACTTGAAATAAAGAGTCAACTGTCATCTATTTACATTATTTGAACTATTGTCCTCATCTTTGTCACCATATTTATTATGTTTCGGCCATTGTACGCTTCGGCCTTATTGAACTCACACTCTTTGGGTCCTGTCGCTGGATCTAACTAATGCCATTATCTATTGTGCCATGTGTACTTGAGGACATCTGCGTATGAATTTCTGGGTATTATAAACCTAATGTCTTCAGCAAACCAATTTTTATTTTTTTTTACCAGTGCTCATATTGCAATTTTTGCTGTTATTATCACTTTTCTCTGGCACTCCTTATTACTGGTTCCCATATTGTATTCATTTCTATGCTTGGTTGGCTCAGGAGATTTTTGTGACCTAGCATATGTGCTGATTCCTTAAGTTTATGAATTTTCCAATGGTGCTGTCTATGATCTCAACCTGATCCCACAGAGGGCGGTGATCTCCCTTTTCTCTCCATATGTGGTTAGCCATGCCTCATTTTTCCATTTTCCCTCATGTTACAGCTTTCTGGTGTTCTTGAAGCCTTACCTTAAGGTGGGGGGGGCGTTCTGTCTCCCCTTTATATTTCTTTCTGCAGCTCCACAGGATAGCATACACACAGTCTTTAGTCATGTTCTCCTCCATGGGGAGTCTTACTTGGGAGAGATATCTGCGAAGTGTCGTCAAGCTTTTGAAGGTTGTCCTGATGTCATATGGACCGATGTTGTCTGCAGTCCATATAACATCAAGACAACCTTAAAACATTCCCATTTAGAACCTGTGTTACTAAATGTAGAGGGATTTGTCAATTTAAATGCCTCCAAAATTAAACTGCTCTTTTTTTAACTGTTTTTTATTTTACATCAACATGGCTGATGCTAACCTCCAAGAGAGTGACTCATTGCATTTTCCACTGCTATGAGGTGGAAAGAGTACATTAAATCAATTGCTAAGTTTGCAGCTAGCAAAGTTGGTTCACTGTATCAAGCTAAACAATTTTTCTTACCAGAATCTATCTTGCATATTTATAAGACTACTACACATCTTTGCTTTGAATATTGCTGTCACATCTAGCCTGGTACTCCTACTATATAAATTCCAAAGAAGAATCTGCTATGTTAAAACCTAACCTGGCATCTCACCTTCAGTTAATTTTCCACCCTGTGCCTTTTCTATAAATACTTTCATGGTAATTGTTCTGATGAATTGTAAATATGGG